CTGCAGCCTCCTGGGCACATTCCTGAATCAGCGCCCTCACCGTGTTGAAGGGGCCCCAGGACACACACAAACACACACACACACACATGTATATATATATATATAAATACACACAAATAAAGATATTCCCCATATGTTCCAATCTTTTCTGGGTTTTTCCCATATTTTCCTGGGAATCGACGATTAATTGTGTCTATATGTTTTTTCCTCTCCTGACGTGTGGCACGTGGGATCGGGAAGACACACTCCTCCCGAAACGTGCAGCCGGCGCCGCGCATCTGGGCAACGGCAGGCGCACGCTCACGCATGGAGACGCAACCCCTCGCAGCATCCACACGCGCCCTGCTCCGTGCTTGCTGCCTCGAGGCTTGCCCCTCGCAGCTCAGGGAAGCAGCAGCTGCACCAGCATCACCTGTCGGAGGTCCGCGCGGATTCCTTGGATCGGCGCTGGAGGCGCCACCAGGAGGGCCCAACGCAGATCCAAGAAACCCGCGCGGAGCTCCGAAAGCCCATGTTCATACATTGTTGCGCTTCTTCGACCCCCCCCACCTGTCCAATCCTCCTTCTGCTCCTCCTCCTCCTCCTTCTTTTCCTCCTCTTCTTTTCCTCCTCTTCGTCCTCCTCCTCCTCCTCCTCCTCCTCCTCCGACCCGCCCTCCGCCGCCCTCTCCCCCACCGCTCACCGCGTCCCCTCTCCCCTCCTGCTCTCGGTGATCCTCAGAACGCGATTTAGCGCCAACGTGTGCTGGTCCAACAACGCCCTTCCTTCACTTCGCCACGGCGAAAATAGTGAAACACAACGGCCAGCATACGCCGGACAGGGTGAACACAGCCAGCGCGATGCCCAGGGGGCAGCCCATTCCCCCCTGCTGGGGGCCCACCGCACGGGCGTGCCTGAACCCCCAAAAAGATTATCCAAGCGAAGGAGCCAACCATATGCAGTTGTGAGTACCGTCGTTGCGGGTATCACCTTCGGGGGATCTCCTCATGGGGCGATGCAGCATGCAAAGGGTGTGCCGCTATGGGGCGGGGCCGCCATGTGGGCGCTGCCACTGGGGCTTTAGGCGGGACCCCGCTATGGGGCCGCGAAAATTTTGAGGGGTGCGCCGCAATGGGGCGGGGCCGCCATCGGGGCTTCCGGTGGAGCTCCCTATGGGGCAACGAAAAGCTGTACTGGGTGGGGGAACCGCATGCGAACACCGCCACTAGGGCTTTCGGTGGAGCTCCCATTAGGGGCCACGAACCTCTGCATTGGGTGGGGGAAACGCATGCGAACCATGCCACTGGGACCTTCGGTGGAGCTCCTCATGGGGCCACGGAGCGGTGTACTGGGCGAGGGAAACGCATGCGGACACCGCCACTGGGGTCCCTATCGTGGCAAGGGGACGTGTTGAAATAAATAGAGGGAGCCATGACATCTGGGAAGATATCATTGCCCTGCCTATGACATTCCCCTCCCTAGTCATCACCTAAGACGAAGCCAGGACGAGGATGACCCCGGGTGAGGATAAATCGAGAATCTCCGAGACCCGACGGCTCTGGAGCATGCCTCGGGTGCCGCGGCCTTCGCGGAGCGTTCTGGCAACTCTGAGACCGTGCAGGAGCGTCCCCGATCACTCCGGAACGGACTTGTTCTCACCCACGCCCCGTCCGATCGACCCCCTCTTGTCGGGGAGACGTAAGACTCGGGTACGGGGGACTCGGGTTGGCCCGACGGGGCCATCATAAAAATGACGAGGCCCAATCGGAAATTTGACGCGAGCTCCCGCTGCAGACATCCCACGAAAACTGGACCGTCAACATCCAGGACGCGCTCCTCAAAAAAACGTCGGCAAACCCGAGTTCCGGCTTACTCGGGTCTCACGTTTTGAAGGGGCCCTGGGACACACATAGAAATACACACAAATAAAATGATTCCCCATATGTTCCCATATTTTATGGGTTTTTGTTTTGTCTTGCCGCCCACTTCCCATACTTTCCCATATTTGCCTGGGACTCGACGATGAATTGTGTCTGTGTGTTTCTTTCCCTCCTGGTTTCCAAATGGACCAGAAATTTGGGGCCCAACCCTGGGATATACGATGGGGGGGCGTCCATCCTCGACAGGGGTGCGTCCGAATGGCCCCCTCGGGATGTATCCCAAGATTCCTCCCCTTTTCTGAGCGACCAAACTTTTCTGGCGGAAGTCGGGGATTGGGGGAGAGAAATCGCCTGCGAGTTCCCCCGATCTTGGGCGGCCCCAGTCCGAAATCCGTTCCGTGCCCCTGCCGGCGCGGAGGGCCCCCGCGAGCCGGCCGAGCGGGGGGCGCTCCTCGTCTGCCCGCAGCGCCCCCTCGCCCTCGGCGCGGGCGAGGGCGGCGAGGGCCACGGCGCGGACGTCGGCCTCGCTCGGGGGGGGGAGGGGGAGGAGCAGGGGGGCGAGGGAGGAGGAGGAGGAGGAGGAGGAGGAGGAGGAGGAGGAGGCGGAGGCGGAGGCGGAGGCGGAGGAGGCGGAGGCGGAGGCGGAGGAGGCGGAGGCGGAGGCGGAGGAGGAGGAGGAGGAGGAGGAGGAGGAGGAGGAGCTTTCTCGAGCATGTCCGCCGAAGGAAGGGGGAGCCGTCTCGAGCAGGAGGAGCAGGGGGACGAGGAAGGAGGAGCCTGTCTCTGGCTTGCCTTCTCGAGCCTGTCCACCGGATCCTCGGCGGGTGTGGCACGCAGCGGTGCGGTGCACGCGCGGCGGCTCGTCGGCCCCGTGCCGTATCCAGGGCGTCGTGGGGCTCTCATTGGAGCGACACGGCGATAGCCTGCCACGTCGATTTAGTATACAGACCCTGAACCTAGCTCTTGCGAGGACATGTGTGGAAGAGAAGAGGAGGAGGACTGACTGACTGACTGACTCGCCCTCGGGGTGGCGGGTGACCGTAAACTACAAGAGACCTCTAAGGCGTAAGCACTCTGATATTCACTAATCCTAGAAGCTTCCCCGCAAGCTCCCAGAGCATAGCTTTGTCTCTAGAGCCTTGGGGGTCTAGTTTTGAAGTCCAGCCGATTTGGTCCCAGCGAATTACCCTACCTCTCGCAGACCTCGTGTTGGTCTTGGAGCTTTGAGAGGAGGAGGAGGAGGAGGAGGAGGAGGAGGAGGAGGAGGAGGAGGAGGAGGAGGAGGGGGAGGAGGAGGAGGAGGAGGAGGAGGAGAGGAGTGGAGTGGAGTGGAGCAGACCGAGGCGCGGTCGAGCGTGGTCCCCCGCGCCCGCCGCGCTCAGCAGCCCGCGGCCGTCCGCGGGCGAAGCGGGCCCCCACCCACCGAGGGATGTGGTGGGCAGGCCCTCGGTCCGTGGTGAGGCACCACGGCCACCGGCCTGGCCAGGGGCTCCTATCTGACGTCCGAACCCTCCGTCCCATCCCTCACGGTGGCCTGTGGCGTATCTATCCCCTCTGTTCGCACAGTCGGCTGTCGAGCAGGGCAGCGATCGCGAGAGGGTACGCGATGCACGGTAAAAGCATGGCATGGCGTACAAGAGCACAGCAGAGCGTAGCATGCCATAGTGTGGCAGCAGCGAGATGAGCGGATGCTTTTTGTCTTGAGCCAAACCGGCAAACGACAGTACTACCGTCTCTAATTGACCTCTGTGTCTGAAGCAAGCGAGTCCCCACTCGCTCCCGTGACATGATCAACAGGAAAGATCATTAAGCTAAACCTATAATACCGGAAACAGGAACCCTGTCACATGGGTCAAGCTTTCTCCTAGGTTTAGCTTCCCCGTTCAGAAAGCAGTAGCTGTACACAGCAAGTCAGATATCCTAGAAGAACAGGATGGGCTAGGAAGGTGAGTGAGAAGAGAGGTCGTCCCGGAGGCCAAACCCCGGAGCTGACTGGGCCGACGTGAACTCGACCCACGATATCAGACGGGAATCACCGTCAAGAGTCCACCTCGAGGCAGCGTGGGACCGGTCCTTCGCGCCGGGCTGCTCCTTGCGACGGGCCATCTCTGCGCCCTCGTCTATCAGGACCAGCCGACCGTTAGCCAGCAAATTGGCCAGGGCGGCGCTGCTTTTGCTCACGTCGTCTTTCGTGAGCGCGTCCACCGGCATCCTGCCGTGAGGCACCCACCGCACATGACCCCGGGCTCTCTCGAGAGCCTCGCAGACTCCCGCCAGGTCCAGAACTGTGCGCCTGTCTCGGGCGCTGGCGTTGCCCTCCTTGAGCATTGTGTCGTAAATGTTTTTGGCATCCACCACATGGACTTGATCTACTCGGCCGCCTAGTCGACAGTCCCTCCTAAGGACTGTCGTGAATGGTCCTGAACCCCTGGACGTACCGTTCACGTCTACGTCCCTAAAGACCACATCCCGATATAGGACCTGCAGGAACTCTACTTCCGCCACTGCCGCAGAAAGGGCTTGGGTTTCCCCCGCCAAGGTCGACGAGACCTTCCGACGCAGCTTGGAGCTGCGCCAGCCTAACACGGAGGCCTTCACGGCGCAGTTATCCAGCACGCTCCTGTCCGTGGCAAGAATCACCCACGCGCCCTGGGTGGGGTCTTCTGGGAGACCTCTCCCGTCCACGAGCCCCTCGTTGGCTCCAACGCCCCCAGCATCCGATCGAGCTTCCAGATGCTAAGGCCCCGGGAGGCCGTCGACCTCAAGTACATCACCATACGATTGGCAATCGTGACGTCGCCAGTCGTGCCCTCCTTAAGCCTACTAGCCAAAATGCTGGCAGCACCTGCCGCCTCGGGCCGCGTCTCTCGACCGACCCAGTTTAGCTTGTAGATTGGGGAGCGGAGGGACTTGAGCCTCCCGCGCTCCATGCTCACTGGCCGGACCTCCTCTAGTATGTACTTCTCTTGATCGATGAGGGCCCGGTGGGGAGTAAACGAAACGCGCCGCCCAGCGTACTCGACCGGCCCCTCGCGGCGGTCGCGGCACTTCCCGAATTTGAACCGAGACTCGAGCACCTGACGAATCCAAGCGCGGGTCTCCCGAGAACTGCTAGATATGAAGAAGTCGTCCACTTCCAGAAGGATCACGCTCAGAATCGCTCCGTCGGGGGCGTACCTAATCCACCAGCATGGTTCAAGCAGGCCCCTTACGAAACCCTGTTTCTGCAGAAACCCAACCACGGTTTTCCCCCAAGCCAGAGGGGCATCGTCGAGCCCGTACACGTTGACAAGCAAACGGATCAGGGACCCCTTTTCCACCCGGATCCCCTCGTAGGGCTCCACATAAATTTCACCTTGGGCTCTCTGCATTGGGTTCGATTGGCAGAACGCGTTTTTGACGTCAGCTATGTCCCCTAGATGACTCAGGTTCATCCTGACTTGAACGAACATGAGGATTGATGTTGTCTGAGGCGTAGGCGAATACACGAAGAACGAACCGGTATCAGGATCCTCGTGCCCATGGACACACCATCTCGACTTGGCAGCTGGCTCGGCAAACGTGCCTTCCACTGGCTTCCACCGACGCACCATTCTGCTAGTAATGATCCTATCCGGACAGGTGCGCCTGACATGTTCCGCCTCCCTAGGAGGTATTACTTCCACCGCTCCCGAGCCCATCATGTTCTGCCATTCTTTATCATCGGACATCTCGAACTTCGCCCTCTCAGCTGGACTGAGCTGTCTGAGGGAAATCTCCCCCCCCCGGCTGGCCGCCAGAACCTCGTTGTTCCCGGAGCTCTCGACCCCTTCCACGAACGCCAGAGAGGACCCGTCCGCGCTGGTTTCAACAAGAAAAGAAGCCCCGCCCTCGACCTCGGTCCAGGCCTCAATTTCGGCCACCCGTCGTCCGACAAGCTCTCCCCTGGGCCTGGACAGGCTCCTCCCCCTCCGGTCTCTGGCGGCGGCGGCGGCGCCGACGGCGGCAGCGGACGACGACGGAACCGAGTCGGCCTCTGCAGCCGCTGGCTGCTCCAGGCCGGGGGGTGGCTCCACGCGCGGCCGCTTCGCCTCGCTGACCTCTGGTGGACAGCTGGCTGACCGAACCCCTGGCGCCTCACCTCCCAGAGGTCTCCGAAAGCAGTGAGGGACGTCGCTCGGCTGCTCGAGCTTGGCCCTAGCCGGCCTGGCCGGCACGACCGAAGAAGGAGGAGGAGGAGACGACGCAACCGGGAGATGAGGGCCGGAGGGAGGAGGGTCAGCAGTTCCCCCGGAGACCCCCTCGTCGGACCCCGGGACCGCTTCGAGGCCTCCTTCGCCTGGAGGCGTGCCAGTACCTGACGACTCTCTCAGCTCCTCGATGCTCTCTGAAATCGAGGGGAGTCGTGTCATCTCGGACCCCGCGTTGGCCACAGCCGATCCCCCCGCGGACGATGGCCTGGGCCGCGGGCCCCGCGACCGGAGGAGAGGGGGCCCCGAGCCGATGGGGTCGAAGCCTCGGCTCACTGGGGGAGGGCCCACTGGGCCCGAAGGTTCGGCCACCTCGGACCTGGTCCCGGGCCCCGCCAGCTGGGGAGCAGAGTCCGGCTCTGGCGACAGGGGTTGATCCCAGGCCTCTTCGGGAGGGGGGCCCTCCCGCTGCACGTCCACAGCTGAAGCACGCCTGGACTGTGCCTGAGCCATGAGCTCGGACCACTGCGGATCTTGCGCCACTTGGATCCCGAACTCTTCTTCAGGACTGGCGTGTCGCACCTGTTCGGGTGAGCACTTCCATAGGCGTGCTCTCACCGCCACCCAGACCGTTCCCCTTTCGGCTAAAACCACGACCCCGGGTCCCGTCCAAGCGCCCCGCCTGCGACCAAGCGTGTCCGCCCGCGACCCGGCTCGAGTAAGCCTACGCCACACAAACACCCACTGACCAGGGCTGAACACGGTCTGGGATGGGCCCCTGGCTTTACTGGCCTTGTGTATCTTATCTCGGGCGGTGGTTTCCATGGCAAGACGGCGAGCGACATCTCGGACTCTCTGAGAGCGAGCGAACTCCGCACCAGCAGAATCTTGTTCGGACGGCGGCCGCAAGCAGTCTTGCCATCCGGGAAGGCCCACGTGGTCATCCCACAAAATCTCGTGCGGCAAGCGTGGGCTCTCACCGAATACTAACTGCATAGGCGAGAAGCCTCCCCGGTGCCAGGATCTGTTCTTGTGGGCGCAGAATTCATGAATGAGCTCGTCCAGTTCTTGGACGTCCCCGGGCAGGGCGGATCCGGCCTCAACCTCGCTCTTGATTCGCTCCTTGATCCAACCCCCGTGGCGCTCAACACGGCCGTCCTGCCGGGGGGAATTAGCATCGCATACGTGGTGAAGGACTCCCCATTGCTCTAGGCCGCGAGCAAATCTTTCTTCGAACTCTGGCCCCTCATCTGAGAGAAGGAAGTGAGGAGCGCCAAATGGCCTTATCCAGGCTGAGACGAACGCGCGCCACACAAGAGAGGCCTTGGGTTCCTCGACCCGCGCGCATATCTGC